TGTTTTCTCTCCTCGAAGATGCTAAAATGACCAACATAATGAAAACTAAATAGAGACTAAATCCTGGAAACCTTCTCAGAGGAGGTGATTTTTTTTGGAAAAACGAACATGTTGTGTGTGTTTTTCATTATATCCATCGTGAAAAAAAACTGGCCGAGGGACAATTAGAGGAATTAATAGGGGAACCTGAAGGAGGAACAAGCTTGACAGATGTTCAAGAAAATGAGAAGGTCAAAGTGACTGGAACTTGATGGGTGATGGAAGAAAGACAATCTATAGAAAGCTGGAGTGGCTGAAACCGGTTTGGCTCAATGGATAGAGCATCGGCTTGGGGACTGAAAGGTCCCGGGTTCGATTCCGGTCAGGGGCATGTACCTTGGTTGCGGGCATGTCCCCAGTGGGGGGTGTGCAAGAGGCAGCTGATCAATGACTCTCTCTCATCGATGTTTCTAACTCTCTATCTCTCTCCTTTCCTCTCTGTACAAAATCAATAAAATATATTTTAAAAAAGAAAGAAAGAAAGAAAGAAAGAAAGAAAGAAAGAAAGAAAGAAAGAAAGAAAGCAAGCAAGCAAGCAAGCTGGAGTGGACAGCAGGAGCAAGGCATGCTCTGGGCAGGCATTTATTTTTATTGATTTCAGAGAGGGGGAGAGAGAGAGAGAAACATCAATGATGAGAGAGAATCACTGATTGCCTGGCTCCTTCAGCCCCCCACTAGGGAGCCAGCCCACAAACCGCAACTAGGGCACGTGCCCTGACTGGGAATGGAACCGTTACCTCCTGATCCATAGGCTGAGGTTCAACCACTAGGTCATGCTGGCTGGGCGGCAGGGGTTTATTTTTGATGCCATGTTGAGCCATTGACAATTGTAAGCAGGGGCATGATCTAATCTAATTTGTGTTTTAAATCGATCACACCAGCTGTTGGCAAGAACAGAGGCTAGAAGATGGGTCAAGGGCTACTGAACCAGCCTCCGAGAGAGAATGGTGGTGTGGGTGAGGGCGGAGGCAGCGGGGAAAGAAAGGAAGGATAGTCTTGAGATGTTCTAGAGCTTCAAAGAGTCAGACACCCTTGGCTGGAAGTGAGAGATCAGAGAAAGGAAGTTAAGTTCAACTCCCAGTTCCTGGCTTTAGTTTCAGGATGAATGATGGCACTATTTAATGAGGCAGGACAGGCTTGGAGGTTGTCGGGGGTGAGAGAGTCCAGTTGGAGGGGGAATAAACAGTGCTTTTAGGACACATCCCGTTTGAGATGTTTATGGAGACACCCAAGTAGAGAACACAAAAGCAATTGACATATGAGTGTGGAAGCCAGGGTGGCTGCTGGTCTGAGGTCACGATGAGTCATCAATATTTAAACAATATTTAAATCCAGGGGACCACCTCGGGCTGTGTAGGGAGAAAAAAACTGACCTAGAACTAGGAATTAAGAATCCTGTTTCTATAGATAATCCTAACATTTATATGGAACCACAGAAGACCCCAACTACCCACAGCAATCTTGAGAAAGAAGAACAAAGTTGGAGGTATCACACTACCTGACACCAAACTATGCTACAAACGTTGCCGGCTTGTTTGGCTGAAGCCATGCTGCACACACAACCTTATATCCGCTGTTTTACCCTTTACGGGGCAGGAGGAGCATTTCCCGTGCCTTTGTAAACTCCTTGCAGACATGGATTTTAAAACAGAAGTAATCCACGGAGTGGGTGTTCTGTGGGTCCTTTAACCTTTCCCCCTTTTATTGGACATTTCCAGTGTTTCCTGGCGATGGCTGCTGCCGTGCGGAGAGAGGCGGCGTGTGTGTGGGTAAGAAGGCAGCTAATACGAGGCAGAGCTCAAAGGGACGCCATCGGGGAGGCATGGGAACTGGCGTTGCTGACAGCTCACGTGCTGGGCTTTCCTGGACCCGAGGACAGAGAATGGAACGGCAAAGCGAGGGCCTCTGGCTTCTCCAAGGGCCCCCAGTCCGGGTGCGGAGCACGGGAGGATGAAGGTGGGGAGAGGGCCCCGGAGAAGAGGGAGGGCCCGGGGTGTGACCACGGAACCGTTTACAGTTTAAACACGTATTGCAACAGCCATGTTTGAGGTGACAACAGGCCCCTTCTCGAGCCTGTTTCCCCCACAATAGAAGTCCTTTTGCCCCTTCCCGGAGGGGGCACGGCCCCAGCACACCTCGCCATGGGCAGTCTCTAGGGACCCAGTGCCCTCCACAAAGCCCTGCCGGAGAGGTCTCTGCGCCGGTGAGGACGGAGTGGGTGAGCTAGTGGGCTCACCTGCCCAGCAGAGGCGGGGGGGCCACGTAGAGGGATGTTTTCCACGGGAGCCAGCCCTGAGTGGAGGCCGCGTGCTCTGGGACTGGCCCAGACCCCTTCCAGCTTTTTAGGTTCTGGGACTCCACAGTGCAGCATTCGCCGAAGCCCCACTGTGAGCTGTGGCCAGAGGAGTAATCCCCCACTGATGGGAGTGCCTACTGTGTGCCCAACACTGGGCTTCCTGTGTGTATGCTGTCACCTCATGTCAGGACAGGCCGGTGAGGAAAGAATCATCCCCCGTCTAACAGAGGGGACCCGAGGGGCAGTCCAGGCTCCCCCTGTAGCACAGGGTGCAGAGGGAGAACCCCACAACATAACCCTTTCCCGTAGCATTTACACCCCATGAGAAGAGGGCCTGGGTGGCACCTGGTAGCTGAGGTGAGAGGTTCCCTCTCAGAGTCAACGAGTTCAGCATCCCCACCCCTTGGGCTGGCGGGGGCAGGGCCGGAGGCCAGGGTGTGCCAGGTCTTGTTTGTGTGTGTGTGTGTGTGTGTTTGTGGGGTTTGAGTTTCTGATAGATGATAATCATTGCCAGGCCTCCCCAGCTGGAACTGGAGCAGGCACCGCGCCAGGGCCTGCCGCCCTCAGGACAAGTATAAGAGCCAAAGAGGCCCTGGAGCCGGGCCAGGCGGAGGTGCCAGCCACCGTGGGGACGCCGGGTGCGGAGCTAACGTGCGGCATTCGGCCCGCCGGTGGGCAGGGTGGGTTCTGGAAGACTGGGAGAGGCCCTACGGAAGCCGCTGGGCTGCCTGGCTGGAGGACGGCGCCAGGAGCTTAGTCCAGCAGGGTGAGTACATTTCCATGGTCCCTGCCTTTCCCCACAAGCTCCTCGCCCCAAGAGTAACAGAGTGACTATCTGTCCCAGAGGTGCCAAGTGGAGACTGAGTGGCCACTTGACAGGAATTTGAGCTCTGTTTCTCTCAAAGAAGCAGTGTGTGTGTGTGTTGGGGTTGGGGGGGGGGGGGTGAGGAAGGGGGAGAGAGCAAGGTAGCAGAAGCACTGTCATTTATCCTGTGCTCGCCAAACACCAGGCACTGTGGGTTATCTCACTAAGGTGAAGCCAGAGGATGGAGGCCTGGCTTAGCATCCCAGTTCTTGAGGTGTTAGCTTCACTGACTCTTACAACAACCCTATGAGGCAGATATTGTACAGATGAGGAGACAGAAGCACAGACTTGTTAGGTCACTAGTGCTTGCCCACGGACACACAGCAAGTGACAAAACCAGGATTTGAACTCTCTGACTCCAAAGCCTGTGCTCTTAACCTCCATATTATGCTATCGTGTGGCTAAGTCCCTTCCACTTTCTGAGGGGCAGTTTCCTTATCCCAGTTCCAGGGTGTAAGATATTGTCCTGAGATTCCCTAAAGGTACCTGGATCAGCTTTAAACATCAGGAAACCTTTTGGGAAACATTTGTCAAGAACTATGTGTGCCCTAGCTGGTTTGGCTCAGTGAATAGAGCATCAGCCTGCGGACTGAAGGATCCCAGGTTCGATTCCAGCCAAGGGCACACGCCGAGGTTGCAGGCTTTATTTCCAGTAGGGGATGTGCAGGAGGCAGCCAATCAATGATTTTCTCTCATCACTGATGTTTCTATCTCTCTTTCCCTCTTCCTTCTTCTGTGAAATCAATGAAAATCTATTAAAAAAAAAAAAAAAAAAAAAGCACCTATGTGTATAATACCTTTTGATCCAGCATTCAACTTTGGAAATTTATCATAAAGGATATAATTGGATTTACGAATAAGGAAGTTCATTATAGTTTTCCTTATAATCACAGAAAATTAGAAGCAAATTTGGGGGGAAAATTATGTACATCCTACGATGAAATAATAAGCAGCCATTAAAAGCATATGTTCAAAGGGTACTGCATGTTCTTGGGAAATTCTCATTTGTTAAATGGAAAAAGCATTTTCTAAAACTATACATGGGAGTGATCTATTTATAAATATGTGTATATATAGGTTTATGAAACAAATATAAAAGATTAGAAAAAATACCCCTAGGGTTTGAGAGTTTATCTTTGAGAAATGGAGGTATGCATATTTTTATTTTTATTTTTTAAATTATTTATTATTTTTTTAAATTTTATTTTGGTATGCATATTTTTATATTTTTCTTTATTCATGTCTAGATTCCTCAAATTTTCTACAAAAATTCACGTGTACTGTTGCGTCTGTTTTTTGTTGTTTGTTATAATCCGATTTTGGCCTTGGGTAGCCCTTCTCTGTCATGGTGCACTCATTGGCTCGAAAAGGGAACTGAATCGCAGGCTGTCTGTATTACGAGGGCCTCTGAGATGATCTGGCCCGCCAGGCTACACGTGGGGAAAGTGAGGCCTGGGGTGCAGGGACTTGTCCAAAGTTCCTGGGCCAGACTGCTAGAAGGGCGAGGAGGCAGGAGGGACTCCCTCCAGAATTTACTGTGTGCGGCTAACGTGTTCACAACCTACAGGCCAGTGAGACCGAGACCGTGAATGCCCAGTGCAGCTGACACACCCACAGACACACCCAGGGACGCCTCAGGCTGGGAGTGACAGGCGAGAGTGAGCAAAGGGCAGCTGGGTGGGCAAGGAGCAAGCCAGGTGTGCCCCAGACTTCTACCTCATCTGTCAGCCTCGCCCAGGGGCGCTTCCTCCCGGCAGGACGGAGGCCTCGCTCCGCTGGCGGCTGGATTCCGAAGGGAGGATGAAAGGACTTCGCTGGCGTTACACTCGGCTGGTAAGGGGTCCGGGCCTGGGCTGGGGGTGAGGTCAGGACGCTGCGGGGAGGGAAGCTCGCTGGCAGGGTGGGGCCTGAGCCAGGGAGGAATGCAGCAGGGGATCTGTTCCTCTGCCAAGTCCCTCCCCAGCTGGCCTGGGGTTCAAAGCACAAACTCAGGAGCTCAGAGCCTTCACTCCCAGGCCCCCATGGAGCATAGACTGCTGTTCCGTTTCTTCCTCCCTCGAGTGGGTGCCAGACGGAGCTCTGTCCAGAAGTCCCACACAGCAAGGACCCCCTCCTTAGGCCTGAACCTGGGATATAGGAAAGCAATGTCTGAAACAGAGTGGAAGCTCGAATGAATGAATGAATATAATGAATATAATAACATTTATGCCCCCTGACCCACATACCAGTACATATATAGGGTATCCCCCAAAAATGTATGCACACTTTAACAACTGATAATTCACTTAATTTTCACTCCGTTCCAGGTTTATCTGATTTGAAATAATAGGTGAAGCCAGACTAAGCTTTAAATTAAACAAAGAAAATTTATCCTAAAATGCCACTAGACTGTTTTTAAAAATATATATTTTATTGATTTTTTATAGAAAGGAAGGGAGAGGGATAGAGAGCTAGAAACATCGATAAGAGAGAAACATTGACTAGCTGCCTCCTATCACCCCCCCCCCCCCCACTGGGGATGTGCCTGCAACCAATGTACATGCCCCTGACCGGAATTGAACCCGGGACCCTTCAGTCCGCAGACCGACGCTCTATCCACTGAGCCAAACCGGTTTCGGCTCACTAGACTGTTTTTTTAATGGGACCCATAAAAGATAAATTTCAAAAATTAGCAACAGGCCATGAATTGAGGGCACACAAGTACTGAACAAAATGATTCTTCTTTTATTAAATGTTTTCAAGCATATTAATCCTTTTCTTTTCTTTTCTTTTCTTTTCAAAATGTTTTTATTAACTTCAGAGAAAGGAAGGGAGAAGGAGAGAGACAGAAACATCAATGATGAGAGAGAATTATTGGTCGGCTGTCTCCTATGTACCGCCCACTGGGGATCGAGCCCACAATTAGGCATGTGCCCTGACTGGGAATCAAACCATGACCTCCTGGTTCATAGATTGGTGCTCAATCACTGAGCCACGCCTGCCGGGCCAAAATGATTTTATTTTTTTATTTTATTGATTTTCCACAGAGAGGAAGGGAGAGAGATAGAGAGCTAGAAACGTCGATGAGAGAGAAACATCGACCAGCTGCCTCCTGCACACCCCCTACCGGAGATGTGCCCGCAACCAGTGTACATGTCCTTGACCAGAATCGAACCTGGGACCTTTCAGTCCGCAGACCGATGCTCTATCACTGAGCCAAACCGGCTTCGGCTAAAATGATTCTTGATGTTTGGAATTCCATTACTTCGAGTTTCCAGCTGTGCTTGGACCAGAACAGTCATCAGTTTGAAAACAGGCATTGACAAAAAACTATTCATTTCTATAGATTCTTTTGAATTTTTAAAATGAGCTATATGTTAATAAACACCAACTTTATGATCATTCAAAGTGTGTATACATTTTGGGGGTACACCCTGTGTTTACACAATCCCAACTCACACTCACAAACACATTGACAGGTAAACACAAAGTTACACTCAGCACCGCCTCACACTGATTTGCCTACACAACTCTATTTGTAAGGGAACACACACATTCACGTGGACAATCGCACATTTTACAGGAAACCGCACATGCCTCACCTACGACAGCATGATTGTTTCACTGGCTGACAGGGAAGTCTCGGGGACTCCTATGTAAAACAGGAATAATAAGCAGCACATTCTTAGGATTCCTGGGGAAATTCGGAGAGATCATGCACAGCTAGCACTTCACACCGGCCTGGTCAAGTGTGTGCTGACCAATGTCTGCCACTCTGGTTCTTACTATTATGATCAATAACTCATGTACCATCTTACACAGCACCCAGGGCTGGGCTGTCACCTGCCCTTCTCCCCTGCCCCCTGGGATCCCTGGCACCCACCTGGGTCCAGAGCAGACAGGCGGACAAACCCCAGGGCCCACGGCCACAGCCGATGGGCGTGTGTGATTCCAGCCTTGGCTAGCAGGTACCGGGAGGAAGCCGGCTGGCGGGACTGAGTCTTGTCTGTGACGGACACTTCCCGGCCTCCTCTGGCTGGGCTGGTAGCTGTAGGGGCCTGGGCAGGGGTGGCTGAGGCCCTGGGAGATGTGGAAGCCGGTGGCTCTTCTCCCTTATCTCGCCAGGCCTCTTTGTGTCTTCACAGCCCACCCTGTCTGGAGAGGAGGGTGAGGAAGGGGACGAGGAAGAGGAGGAGGAGGCAGCCCCAGCTCCAGCCCCCGCTCCTGAAGATCCCGTGGAGCCCCAGCTGGCAGAAGCCAGCCAGGTTCTGGGAGCCTCGGAGATCAGGGAGGTGAGGCCTGGTTTATGGTGCAAGGATGTCAGCCCCGAGACTGAGAGGCCCACCCGCCCGTCCCGCTCCCAGCCAGGCCAAGGACTCCTGGGATCACGCCTGCTCCGAACCCAGCTCCCTGTGTCACCCTGGGCGAGCCATTTCTCCGCTGGCTCCCCTCGCCCCCGTCAATCAATCCAGGAACACGGGCGTCGCCGCCTGCACTGGGCCAAGTGAAGCGAGTAGGAAATGCGCTAACGTTTGAGTAGAAGAGCCCTTGGGAGGGATGAAAGGATAAGGACTGGGGGGTTAGGAGGAGGGATTCACCATCTCATCTGTTCTCCAGCCACTAGAGGCCAGGGTGACCTGGGTTCAAATCCTGACTCTGCCACTTGCTCCCCATGTGAGCTGATCCCCTTCCCCTGGCCTCATCTGTTAGAGAGTCCCTCTCAGGGGCTACTCCTCGCAGGTGTGAAAGTCCCCTGGAAACAGGAAACTCCTCTGTATACTGTAAAGTACCTTGCTTGTGTGAGTGGTGGCTGTTTAACCTCCCTGGGACCTCGCCCTTCCCCTCACCCCCCAATAGTAAAAGGAGACTGGGAGGACGAGGACCCCCCACTCACCTCCAGACCTGTCCCCAGCTCAGCCGCCACCTCCCCCCGAGAGTCACGGGATATTCTTGGAGTCTGGCCTTCTGCACCGCGAGGGACGGCTTCAGTCTGCAGAGCCTGTACCGGCAGATGCAGGGCCACGGCGGGCCGGTGCTGCTGGCGCTGAAGGACCAGGATGGGCAGGTGAGCTGGGCTGGGGGTGCTGAGGAAAGGGTGTGTGTAGACGGGCCCTTGGGGGCCCCTCCACCCTCCAGCACTGCCCCGGGCCCCCCACTTGCCCCTCTAGGATGAGCCCATGTTACCAAGCTTGGGAATTGGGTTTCCAGAGGATCGTCTATTTCCTTCCTGCTGCAAAACGCACGCTCTTCTGCTTTCCAGATGTTTGGGGCCTTCTCCTCCTCGGCTTTCCGACTCAGCAAAGGCTTCTACGGAACTGGCGAGACATTCCTCTTCTCCTTCTCCCCACAGCTGAAGGTGATGTCCCCACCCTTTCGGGAGCGGGTGGGAGGGGTCTCTGGCAGGACAGGGGTCCCAGGGTCCCAGGGGCCCCCAGCTCCATCCCCTGTGCTGGGGTGTCTGGTATCCTCCAACCTTCCCACAGAGGGAAGGCAGGAGGGCAGGGGCAGGCAGAGCACCCCCTCGGCCTGCCCATCTTCGTGTGTGTGTGTGTGTGTGTGTGTGTGTGTGTGTGTTTGGTTTAAATACTCAGTAGGTCCTTGGCAACCACTTTCTGGCTCTGCGAGGAAGAGGTTTGTTGTCACCAGATTCAGGCTGGAAAGACAAGTTTAGTCGAAGGGCAGGTAGACTGAGGATGGAGGAGAAGGTGTGAAGGTTGAGGGGAGAGCAAGTATCAGCTAGTGATCATGAGAGTGGAAAGGGAAGCCCAGGAGAGAAAACTAGAGACGAGGAGGAACAGCCAGGCAATGCTGATGGGAGGATTGAGGCTGAATTTTAAAACAAGCCAAGTACTTCCCTCCAGCAACCTTCAGCTCTTCGGGTTCAGGCAACGGAGAGCGTGCAGAGTGGGGGGAGGGTTCGTCCATGATGGGTTTGGCCAAGTTGTTTTAACGGAGGAGAGAGGGAAAGGAAGTGGAAAGGAGTGGAAATACAAAATGGAAGGAGAAGTGCTGGATACTTTGGTTTGCGATGAGGTACCTCTTCTCCAGTGCACAGACCAAGACACCTTCAGACACACCCAGCAGCACAAACATCTGGTCACATGACGAGGTGACCAGGAGCTGTGGACTGGCTGTAGGCAAAGGCACCCTCCCTATTGCCTGGCCTGGTAATCTCATCGGGGAAGAGGAGCGGGGTCAGTTGTCCACAGTGAACCCACGCTGGAGACCAGTCATCGCTGCCTGCCTTCCGTGGTTCGCATATGAGAATTCTAGGATTTTCCTTGTACTGAACTGACAACTCCTTGGCAGAATTCTTTGTTTGTTCCTCCTCGTCTTCCCCAACCTTTTAATGGCACAAGGCCTCAGAGCCCAGTTTTGGGTTCTCCGCTCTTCTCTGACCACCCTCTTCTCCTTCAGGGTCCTATCCATTCTTACAGTTTTCTGTGCCGTCCATGTGCTCATGGCCTCTTCCCCTGGACTCCAAACACACAGACATCCAAACACTATCCAGCGGCTCCACAAGTCTCACACATGGCATTTCAAACCTCACAGGTCCGAAGTCGAGCTCCCGACTCTCCCCCATAAAACAGCTCCTCCAGGCATCTTCCCCAACCAAGTTCACTGGCACCTCCCTCTTTCCCGCTGCCGAGACCAAAAATCTGGAGTCTTTCTTAACATCTCTTCTACACCGTACACCTGAGCCGCCAACCAAGTCTGACCGTCCTGCCTTCTCTTTCTGTCTACGTCCAGAACCCACCACTTTTCACCGTGCCCTTTGCAGCCATCCTGGTTCAAGCCACCATCATTATTTGCCTGTGTTCTTGCTCTAGCCTCTGAATGCTTCTGCCTCCCATCATCACAGAAGATGAAACGACCCCTGTAAAAGCTAAGTCAGAGCATGTCGCTGACTCCACGCTGCCCATGACTTTCTTTCTCACTAGAGAAAAGCCAAAGTCTTGACAATAACCTACAAGTCCCTACATCTTCTGGCCTCTTGCTGCTACTGTTTCTTTCTTTTAAAATATGTTTTAAAAAATATATATTTTATTGATTTTTGTACAGAGAGGAAGGGAGAGAGATAGTTAGAAACATCGATGAGAGAGAGTCATGGACCAGCTGCCTCTTGCACACCCCCTACTGGGAATGTGCCTGCAACCAAGGTACATGCCCTTGACCGGAATCGAACCCGGGACCCTTCAGTCGCCAAGCCGACGCTCTATCCATTGAGCCAAACCGGTCTTGGCGATTTTTATTTTTTTTAAGAGAGAGATAAAGGAAGAAGGTAGAAACATCAACGAGAAAGAAACATCACCAGTTGGCTGTCTCCTGCTCACCCCCTACTGGGGATCGAGCCCGCACTTGGGTATATGCCCTGACTGGAAATCAAACCTGTGACCTTTGGTTCATGGATTGACACTCAACCACTGAGCCACACCAGCTAGGCTTTACCTCGCCGTGCTCCAGCCACACTGACCTCTGAGCTGGCGATTAAACACGCTGGCTTGCTACTGCCTTTGCACATGATGTTCTGCCTATAGTGCCCTCCATTGGATGTGCACATGGCTTAGTTCTCACCTCCTTCAGTTCTCTGCTCAGATGTCACCGTCTCAGAGAGGCCTTCCCTGGTCACCTGATTTACAATACTGTACCCCCTGGGAACCCCGTTTGCCCTTTTCTGCCTTTTTCTCCTTAGCATCTGTCACCACCTTACATACTATTTATTTTACTTATGGATTTGCCTCCTCCAACTAGAGTGCAAGTTCCAGGAGGCAGGCATTTTTGTCTGTTATGGTCACCATCCTACCCATTACCTAAAATAGCACCTGGTGCTAAATGCTTAAAAAAGAAATGAGTAATTTTCTCAGGGGCTTGCTATCGGTCTTCCTAGCCTATGGTTATGGAATCTCATCTTTCCAAAAACTGGTTACTTTGTGCCTGTCTTTGATCTTTTTGGGACTTATGTTCTTCATGAATTCCCAGTAGTTCCTTGATCACTACTCTAAGCAGCATCATGAAGATGGTCTTAATTCCTTCTGTAGCAATGTTGACCTTACACCTTCAAGTTCGAAGGTCATGCTCCTTGATGAAAGTAGAAGAGGACTTGAATGGTTCTGTCTTCTCATGGTCACTTGTTAATATTATCTCATCTCACTGAAACCGGTTTGGCTCAGTGGCAGAATGTCAGTCTGCGGACTGAAAGGTCCCAGGTTCGATTCTGATCAGGGGCATGTACATTGGTTGCAGGCACATCCCCGGTGGGGGGTGTGCAAGAGGCAGCTGGTCGATGTTTCTCTCTCATTGATGTTTCTAGCTCTCTATCTCTCTCCCTTCCTCTCTGTAAAAAAATCAATAAAATATATTTTAAAAATTTATATATATATATTATCTCATCTCTTCTGAGACCAGGCTTATCTTTTATTAGTACTTTTTTTTTTTTTGCTAAAAATCCTTTGTTTGTTCATAGCGTTTTTTTACAACTAATTATACATAATAATATACTATGCTCTTGCAGCCCTTTAAAAATCTTTGTATTAACTGAATTAACTCTGGAGTAACTTATTTGTTCAACGAACATCTATACCGTCCTGGCAGGGTAGCTCAGTTGTCTGATACACCAAGGTTGCAGGTTCAATTTCCATTCAGGGCACATACAAGATGCAACCAATGAATGCATAAATAAGTAGAATAACAAATAGGTGTTTTTCTCTCTCTCAAAAAAGAGTCAATAAAAACAAACAAGATAACACATCTATCCTATGTCTTAGGAACACTGCCAGGAGTCAGCTCTCACTGAGTTTTTATGTTAGGGGGAAAGCTATGACACATGCACAGGGCACCTCAGTGAGAGGAAAAAAGGTCTGGGAGGAAGGGCTACTTTATTTTTTTAAAATATATTTTATGGATTTTTTACAGAGAGAGAGGGAGAGAGATAGAGAGCTAGAAACATCGATGAAAAAGAAACATCGACCAGCCGCCTCTTGCACACCCCCTACCGGGGATGTGCCCGCAACCAATGTACATGCCCTTGACCGGAATCAAACCTGGGACCTTTCAGTCCGCAAACCGACGCTCTACCACTGAGCCAAACCGGTTTTGGCAGGAAGGGCTACTTTAGATAGGGTGGTCCAGGAAACTTTTCTGGGATATCTGAGATAAAAGATGAGAAGTGAGCCGTTTGAGGATCTGCAGGAAGACCATCTGGGCATAGGGATCAGTAGGCATGAAGGTACTGTAGCAGGAATAGCTTTGCATGTCCCAGGGTCAGAAAGGCTGGTGTAGTTGAAGTGCAGTCAGTAAGGAAGGAAGAGGTCAGAGAGAAAATCAGGGGTCCGAGCCGGCTTGGCTTCCAGCTACAGCAAGGAATTGGATTTTGTTCCCATTGCACTAGGAAGCCATAGGAGGGCTTTAGAATTGATAATATCTGATTCGATTCTGAATTGATCACTCAGAGTATAGTGTAGAGATGGGCTGTGGGCAGTAGAAGCTGTGATCCAGCAAGGAGTGACTTGGCATGGATGTGTGGGCAAGAATGAGGAGAGAAGGGTAGGACAGAAATGGTGGTAATCAGGGGTTGTCGGGGTGGGCCTGCAAGACTTGCTGGGTGTGAGGCAGCACTGGGGATGGGCGGGTGTGGTGCTACCTCCAGTGAGAGATGAGGGGACAGTTAGTTAATGGTAGAATTAGGGCTTTTCCCCGACTCTCTCCAGCTTGGAAGCAGTAAGCCTCAGAGGTTCTGTTCTATTAATAGAACAGAGGGGCTGTGGATTCAGGCTGGAGAGCAAGAGGAGTTGAACTCCAGAGAGACTGGCAAAAAATCTCAAGAGCCAGGAGCTCAGAATACTTCCCGGGCTTAGTTGGGGCCTGGAAGTTCCATTCCCTTTACAATACTGCCACTCAGTGGTGTGGAGTGGAACTGCAGGGCAGTAACGAGCCTTTTTCTGTCTTGCCAGGTCTTTAAGTGGACAGGAAGCAACTCTTTCTTTGTCAAAGGAGATTTGGATTCACTGATGATGGGCAGTGGCAGGTGCGTATCTCAGTCGCCCCTGAGTCTCAGGGTGGTCTGTGTTCTGGTGCCTTCTCTTGCCCAGAAAGGCTGAGCTAGGTTGTCTTATAAAATGGGGAGGCTGGTGGTTAATTTTCAGGCCTCTCCCTTCAGCAGCCTAACTTCCCTCTAAGACAACATTGAGGAAAGAGAATGGCATGACGCTCCCTCTGAGTGTTTGCAGTTGGTACAGCTTAGTCCAAATTTATGTCACTTTGGGAAGAGCATTCCTCGTGGTTGGATGAGGGTAGCCTCAAATTTAGCTGTCAGCACTACAATCCTAGGGAATGTAACTCACTGGAGTCTGCCCGGGACCCTGCTTAAGGGGGTGTATATGTGTGTGTTGGGGGTGGGAAGTGGAGTGGGTTAGGAGGAAAAGGTTAGTCTTGCCCCTGGTATGTCCTGCTAATTGAGGCAGAATCAATCCTATCCTGAGGGCAGAGATGACAACACTGATCAGGACCAGGCAGCTGCCTGAACAGCCTCCAGAGGCGGCCGACACAGGACACACCAGCTTTTTCTGCCCTGCAGTGACTCACTTCCCAGCTCCAGCCTAGCTTTGCTGCCAGGTGAAGGAATTAATGTGGATGCTCTCTGAAGTGTTTTGAGCTCAGAGTCCACAAAGTACAAGATTCACTCCATCGGTTAAACCTTGCCATCTTGCCCTAGCCAGTTTGGCTCAATGGTTCCAGTGTCGATCCATGAGCGTCCTGGGTTTGATTCCAGGCAAGGGCAGGCTAGATTCTCCACACTCCAGGCAGGTGCAGGAAGCAAACAATGAATGCCTTTCTCATGTTGATGTTTCTCTCTGTATCTCTCCCTCTTCTTTCTACTCTCTCTAAAAAATCAATGGAAAAAAATATCCTTGGGTGAGGATTACCAACAACAAAAAGCAAAAAAAAGAAAACAAACCTTGCCATCTTAAGTACATTCCAAATGTTCTAATCCTGTGGTGAGCGTCGCACCACTGTATATATTTATTAAAACCACTGAACTGTAAAAACAAACAAACAAAAAAACCCTCTAGAACCTGTGGGGAATAATGTTTGTGAAATCTTCAACAATTCAGGATAAATCGGTTTAAGGGTCTTGGAAATATAAGCCGTCATGGTGTGGCTCTGAAAGGTCTCAACACGCAGGAGAGCCATGCCAAGACGTTCCTCTTCTCTTTAGTGGCCACTTCGGGCTGTGGCTGGACGGAGACTTGTATCACGGAGGAAGCCACCCCTGTGCGACCTTCAACAATGAGGTACTGGCCCGGCAGGAGCAGTTCTGCATCAAGGAGCTGGAGGCCTGGGTTCTGAGCTGATGGCCCACAGTGGGCAGCTTCCTGAGGCAGCAGGTGCTCCCACCTGCTCATGGATGCCGTCCAGGCCCTTACACGGGGCAGGCCATTCTGCCCCCAAACACGGATGGTGACGTGTCCTCGGCTGACTGTGGCTGTGAGCCACCCTCCTGGTTGCCTGGGGACCCAGGACAGGCATGGGGCCGGAACGGAAGGAGTGAAAGCCAGCTACACCTCACCTGAGCAGGGCCAAGTCCCTCATGAAAATTATCTTTCAAAAAATTATGCAACTAATACATGTTTATTGTAGAAAAAACCAGAAGACATTAAAAATTTCAATTGCCAAATTTACCCCCCTCCAAAAAAACAACAACCAAAAACAACAAACACTACTATTTTTATGTATAACCTTCCAAACAATTTTTCATGGATATATATATGTATATGTATATGTATATGTATATGTATATGTATATGTATATCTTACAAAAATGGGATTCTACTTTATATGTTTTGGAAATTATTTTAACTTAAAGACTATTGTCAAACCACAGATACCTGGGATCAGTGAAATTAATAAAGACTCTAGTAGTATCATTCTTTTTCTAGAACAGTGAGGGCTATGAGCTAGATACTTGCAAATCTCTAATTTTATGAGGAAGATATGAAAGCAGCAAATGAACAATATGCATATTTAATACAGAAGCTAAAACTCTGTAGATGGGAACCTCGGGGAATTTAAAACAGAGGGAGGATAGTTTTCAGGCACAACAGGAACTCAGAAAACTGAGAAGAATCCAGATCCCTTCCCATGCTTGTACCTACCTCTGACCAGAGGAAAACATTCTTTTTTTTTTTTTTTTACAGAGAGGAAGAGAGAAGGATAGAGAGTTAGAAACTTCGATGAGAGAGAAACATCGATCAGCTGCCTCCTGCACACCCCACACTGGGGATGTACCCACAACTAAGGTACATGCCCTTGACCAGAATCGAACCTGGGACCTTTCAGTCCACAGGCTGATGTTCTATCCCCTGAGCCAAACCAGTTTCGGCAAACATTCTTTATTATGCTATTGTTTGCCATGATTGAGTAAGAAAAGTTAAATAACATACACCCTGTTAAATATATACAATCCCCTTTCTCACAGACCCAACATAGCATTGAGGTACTAAAAACTACTTGGGTAAATTCGTAGACCCGTTTCCTTTGCACAAAAAGGTCAAAACTGGGCACACAGTGTGAGTCATTAAGGAAGACACCTCTGGTTTTAAGATGGAGATACATTATGAAGCTTTATTGCAGGTTTTAATTCCTCACCCAAATTAAGTAACCAGTCATTTAAACTTGCAGTTCTGTTTACAGTCTCAAGGTGATAACATTCAGAAACTCCAAAGACTAAGCTGTTAAAGTCTCCATTTTTATACAAACAGTGAAGATGTTTCTTAAAATAAATCTAACCTTGTAAATGACACATGGTTCTCATCATTAAAATAATTGTAAAAAGCATAAAGTGCAGCTGCCTTATATGCAATAAAGTTACTTATCAGCACAATGATACAGAATCGGGACTACAAAATTCCAAAGTAAACCACAATGATTTAAAGGTAGGAGTTGCAAAAATAAAACAATCTTAGCAGAAAAACTACATTCTTCACTACGGGTCTGGGTACACGGGGTCTGAGGCCTAGAGTTCTCCTCCCTGGACGTTTTGGAGGCCATGGCCAAACAGGCATGGCCCAGAACCATGGCTGACTTCCCCTGTGCTACTCGAGCCCCCATGTGAACACATCCCCACCTACATGGCATCACAGTGGGAGTGAGAAAAGGGTTTTAATTATTTTCCTATTAATTAGGGTCAATTCTTGATTATCTACCTCAGGGTGGAGGAAGGGAGGGTGACTATGCAGAAGGGCAGACATTCCTAATATTTCTCACTCTGGTGTCAGTAGAACCTGGTTATACAGTGGAGGTAGCTTCACTCCTGAGAGCTGGGACAATCTGCTGGCCTGTGTTGTGAATTCCTCCCTCCCTCCACTCCCTCCTGCCACAGCCATGAGAGGTGATGGGCTCACAGAAAAATGACTGCCATCCCTCACTGCCTTGCGTTTTCGGGATCTTCTGGCCACCACTGGCTTTGGCTCTAACTCCAGACTTTGCTCTTGGTGAATTTCTGTAGAACCGGAAATGTGCGTGGGGGGATGGGGCACGTTGCTCAGCAGAGGAGCACTGCTCACCACAGTGGCGTCCACTCCAAATGAGTCAACTTACAAAGGGGAACCTGGAATGCCCTTGGCAATCACTCAGCTCAGCACAAGCAGTTCAGTCTTTGCTCTGAAACCATAAGATGCACTGAACTAGCACCAACCAAGTCCAGCTCTGAGCAGCCCTCAGGAGGGTTCCGGTGGCGGCCTCCACTCAGCTCAACCTGGCTTGGGGGACCCCTCTGCCACTGAGGGTAGGGTCTCCTAAAAGGTATTTTATAGCCCACTTCAGAGGCCAGAGGCCTCCGATTTTTCCAATAATTGAATCAGGCTTCTCACGGAGGAGTTGGAGCCCATTCCTGGTTTACCCCAACTTGGCTAAAAGGGTGAGGGGAGGTGTCTCTCTCTAATGTTTAGATCACTTAAAAGGAGATGTCCTCAAGGTGACATTTCCTCAGAAGCTAGGATTTTGGTTGGTTTAACCTTGGCTGTTCATGACAATCCCAACTTCAAATTCCAAAGTATGCCCTTGTATCTTTTCTTTTTCTTTTTTAAAAACACACAATCATATGTCAAAAAGTTTTCTAAGAAAATAGACTGCTAAAAGAGAAAGGCTTTAATTAATACTAAAAATAGGTAAGGTAATGTTTTTTATAGCATACATAGCAAGATTTGCCTATTACCTTTTAGTTTTTTTGAGTAAAAATTGTTTAGCTTCAGCATAGGTATACATTCAAAATATAAAATAAAAAGTACTTGCTCAGCATAGGAGCACTCTCATCAAATTCCCACAATTACTGAATTGTGCTGGGTTGAGGGACTTTCGTAAACAAATGATTACATACTGCTATACAGTTTTCTCTTTGCGTGGGAAGAAGCTGGACTCTCAGCTGTATTTGAGCAATTCCATTCCGGTTTTAGAGGTGTTATTTGTGGGGCTATAACATCGCCATCCTGTCAAAGAGAAAAAAACCAGGAAGAGAGAAAAGCCAGTTTTCATAATTTCAGTGAAAGTCTCGGGTACACGTACTTGTCTTGCAGAGTGATCAAGTCCAGACCTACTTATTCTTGAAAACCCCCAAATTACATCTACACCCTGCATTTGGATGAAATTAGAAACACCACAGTCCGAAGCAGATAAGAGCTTTGCATAGCAAAAGCCACCAGACCTATTCTTATCAAAGATGGTCAGAAACAGCACACTGCCCAGTTCTACAGCCCCTCCCTTCATGCACCTTCACAGAATACAAACTGTCCTGTTTTCTAGAGAGAAAAAGAGAGACTTCTCTGGACCTCTGCTCCTCCCTTGCCTAGTCCCCTTTTAAAAAATTTTATGTATTGACTTTAGAGAGCAGAAAGAACGAGAGGGAAACATTGGTTTGTTCTTCCATTTATTTTTGCATTCATTGGTTGCTTCCTGTATGTGCCCTGACCAGGGATAGAACCTGCAACCTTGCATATTAGGATGATGAGCTACCCAGTCAGGACCTTTGCCCAGTTCCCTCTGCAATACATGGCTCTGGGTCTACAAGATAGCAAAAATAACAGCAAATACAAACAAACAAAGAACAGATATGTCCCTACGAAACCTGAACTTTTCTCTGCAGAGTTATAACCTAGACCAGTGGTTGGCAAACCGCAGCTCACAGGCCACATTGCGGCTCTTTGGCCCCTTGAGTGTGGCTCTTCCACAAAATACCACATGCGGGCGCGCACGTACAGTGCGATTGAAACTTCGTGGCCCATGCGCAGGAGTCGGTTTTCGGCCTGGGCGAGTCTGTTTTGAAGAAGTGGCGTTAGAACACTCAAGGGGCCAAAGAGCCGACCGCAGGTAGCTCACGAGCCACAGTTTGCCGACCACTGGCCTAGACTCATCAGCATAGACTCTGCCCAAAACGAGGAAGAGTGTAAGCAGCAAGACGTTTTAATACCTGACTCTATCCCAAACCGTTCCTGAATTTGTGAGCAGATTCTTTCAGGTCATATAAGAGCGCAGGGTCTTTGACGGCCTTTCATGCACAGGACAGTGATGTCTGTGCTCATCTGCCTGTTCACTCTCACACCCACTCATCACCTTCCCTCTGCTCCACGCTGTATTATGGGGCTGCTCTTGTAAACTCCATCCCCAGCTCCCAACCTACTGGCTTCCAGTTAGGTTCGGCCCATGGGAAGCACTAGATCGCAGAAGAGGGGGGAGAGCCCAGCTGGCATGGCTCAGTGGTTGGGCATCAACCCACAAACCAGAAGGTCATCGTTCTATTCCCGGTCCAGGCACATGGCCGGGTTGTGGGCTCGGTACTCAATGAGGGGCGTGCAGCCAATCAATGAGAAGGAGTCAGCTGAATTAAAAGGGGGAGAGGAGATCATTGGTGTTTCTATCTCTTCTCATGATTGGCGTTTCTATCCCTCTCTCCCTTCCTCTCCAAAATCAATGTTAAAAAAAAACAACAACAAACACCCACACACCACATTTGAAAAGAGGGCAGAGAAGCCTGGGTATTGTTCTCCCTAACCCCTCTGGCACAGGCAGCAGTAACTGTGACTCTTCCATGGTTCTAGCTGCTGCAGATTACCCCAGCACCTGAACTCCCACCTCCTACCCCAGAGCTTCCTACTGTTGTCTCAACCATCCCGTTTGCTGGCTTAGCTCTGCCAAAAATTTGTATCATAGGCCCCATTTTAAATTTCTTCTTTTGAATTACACTGACCTGACTTGATACAGCTATGAAAAGCAGCCATTCAATTGCCATGATAACTCATATTTGGAAGATCTATCTTTTTTTTTTTTAAAATATATTTTATTGATTTTGTACAGAGAGGAAGGGAGAGAGATAGAGAATTAGAAACATCGATGAGAGAGTCATCAATCAGCTGCCTCTTGCACACCCCCTACAAGGGATATGCCCGCAACTAAGGTACATGCCCTTGACCGGAATCGAACCCGGGACCCTTCAGTCCCCAAGCCGACGCTCTATCCATTGAGCCAAACCGGTCCCGGCAAGGAAGATCTATCTTAAAGTCAACATTATTTGTTTTCAAATCCATCTCTATTTCTATCAAATGTCCTTAATTCTACCCATTCTAATTTCAATTCCAGTGAATTTTATAAATGCAAACCTGATATGAATATGCCATTCTCCTGCTTAAAACACTTCATTGGCTCCCACTGTTCATAGCTTAAAGAACTATGTACAATGCCCTGGACCCCTCCCTAAATACACCATCTTCTCTCTCATCTTCTGAACTCCTCTCCCCCTTTTAATTCAGCTGACTCCTTCTCATCTATCCTTCATGTCTCAGCTTCTAAATCATTCTTTATTTTATTTTATTTATTTATAAAGAGACAGGGATGGGAGGGAGACAAAGACATCGACATGAGAAACATTGACCAGTTGCCTCCCATATGTGCCCAGACTGGGGATTGAACCTGAAACCTGGGTATGTTCCCTTCTGGTGTATGGGATGATATTCCAACCAACTGAGCCATACTGGCCATAGCCTAAAAACAGTAAAACCCTGATATGCATATCGACCGAACAGTGAATTAATCGGTTGCTATGATGTGCACTGACCACCAGGGGGCAGATGCTCAAAGCAGAACTGCCCCCTGGTTGCCAGTGCACTCCCACAGGGGGAGCACCACTCAGCCAGAAGCCAGACTCACAGCTTGTGAGCACAGCAGCGGTGGCAGAAGCCTCTCTCACCTTGGCTCAAGGTGGGCAGTAAGGAGCGAGGGGTCCTGGACTGTGAGATGGCACAGGCTGGGCTGAGAGAACCCCTCCAGTGCACAAAATTTTGTGCCTTTATAATAAAAGGATAGTATGCAAATAGACCTCTCCACCAGGGGTTGTCCAGGTGTTTGATCTGGGGGCGTGGCCAGCTGGGGGAAGGGAGGGAGTACAGGGCCTTTAGAGAACTTTCCAACCAACCAATTCTGGCTTCAATGCAATACCCATAATTGTGATTTGTGTGACCGTCATTCCCAACTGGAGTAAGATCTGTGGAAACTATGTCTGCCTTAGATATTGTTCCATCCCTGGTACCTATCACAGACCTGGCATAAGTACTCATTCAATGAGTGAATGTACCTAGACTTAAGATAGCTATTTCCCTAATGGCTGAACTTTAAAAGCCTTTTGCCTCTTTGCTTCCTGTCTCTTCAAGTTCCTATCCACCTGCCATTAGAGTTTTCTTCCTTATTCATTGACTAGAGAGGCCCAGTGCATGAAATTTGTGCACTGGTATGGTCCCTAGTGACTGCCAGCTGCCAGCCAGGTGCTCCCTCCCTTCCCCCAGCAACCTGCTGCTGCCACAGCTGGAGCCTCTCTCCCTTCCCCCGGCTGGCCACGCCCCCAGATCGAATCCCTGGACAACTGGTGGAGAGATCTATTTGCATACTATCCTTTTATTATAAAGGATTATATAGGATTTAGTTATTTGGGTATTACCGAAGCAGAGATATCCTTCCTTATTTCATGGGTATCACTCTAGTTGGAGATGACCAATACAGAAATAAATAATAATTATGGCAGCACAGTAAGACTTGAATACTCTCCATGATTCCCTCCTAGCTGTACATAAGGGGGAAAACATCTTCCTTCTTAGCTGATTATTCAGGGTGCTCCATAATCTAGTCCACTCTTCCGACTCAATTTCTCACAACTCTTCTATCCCAGTTAGCAAGTCTCCTCATGGTTCTCCTGGACATAATCAACTTTTTCCACTTTCATGCCCTTTTCTGATGCTCTCACTGCCAAATATGTGCTGCCCTTCTCTGCTAACTCACCCAAACACAATTGGCCTTCTGGATTGAGTAAAGTCCTCCCTCTTTCAGAAGGCTTTTCTGTCTGCTTTCTCGACTCTGAATCCTGATAGAATTCACCTGGACCACTCCATCTGGCACTTGATAAAGATCTGATGGACTCAGCTACTCTTCCATGTCTGACCTTTCATTTTTGTTTCCTTTAGGACCCAATGCATGAAGGGAAAAGGCAGCTGTGGTGTTGGGAGAGAAAGGCCTAGACTGGGCAGGAGAATGCTGTTTCCACCTGCCTGCTCATTATATCCATTCAGTCAACAAATATAGACGGGCCACTTTCTCTGTGTCAGGCACTACTACGGGGATGTCAATGAAAGACAATTTTAACAATATTCTCTACGCAGTGTTTCCCAAACTTCTGACATTATGTGTGCCCCTTCTATAATTTTCATAACACTGAGTACCCCTCGTACTCATGAGAACGTAGAATTAGGCGCAGCTAAGCACGGTGCAGTGCATATCCCCACCAAACTCCGGTGCAACGCGTACCCCCACCAAACTCTTCCCATACCCCTGGGGGTACGCGTTCCACACTTTGAGAAACACGGCTCTACAGGATTGGCAACCACTGCTTGTTTCTACCTCCTTTCCACACTCTTATTCTAGAGAACTGGGTTTCAAATAAGAAGTTAGAAAACTTATTATCAGCCGAAACCAGTTTGGCTCAGTGGATAGAGCATCAGCCTGCGGACTCAAGGGTCCCAGGTTTGATTCCGGTCAAGGGCATGTACCTTGGTTGCAGGCACATCCCCAGTAGGGGGTGTGCAAGAGGCAGCTGATCGATGTTTCTCTCTCATCGATGTTTCTAACTCTCTATCCCTCTCTCTTCCTCTCTGTAAAAAGTGAATAAAAATGGTTTAAAAAAATAAATAAACAAACAAGTGGTATTTTAAAAAAAGAAAAAGAAAAGAAAACTTATTATCAGTTGTATGTGTGCTTATGCAAGTTAACTACTCAGTGTTTGTAACCCCGATCTGAAAGATGAAGACACTATGATTCACTGCTAGCGTCACTATAAGGACTGGAAGAAACAACTGGTAAGAACATTACAAAGTACTAGTAACATGCTCACCATTTTAAACATTTATTAAGACAATAATGATAAACAGAGTACCCACTCACAACTGGTACAGGAAGAAAATCCTGTTTGACAGATTCAGATATTTTAAAAGAAAAGCTTAAAGTAGAAAACCTTTTATTTTTCAGAACCATAACCAAAATGACTATAATTTAAATGAGAATTTTTCAGAGGGACATAAGGATCCCTTTTGATCTTTACTTAAATATAAAAAATTGTGCCCAGCTGGTATGGCTCAGTGGTTGACTTATGAACCAGGAGGTCAGTGTTGAATTCCCAGTGGAGGGCATGTAAGAGGCAGCTGATCAATGGATTCTCATCATTGATGTTTCTAACATTTCTCCCTCTCTCAAATCAATAAAAATAACATTTTTAAAAACTGTGCAAAGTAATAAATAATAAGCCACTTACCTTTGGTTTGATGAAATTCCTCTTTTTGCACCAATTAACAAAATATTGTTGTGCAGCAAACAAACTCTTTTTATCCGTCTTTTTACAATACACTCGAATTAGCTTCTCCTCAAATTTCTTTGGCAAAAGCTGTGAAGCCTTTTTAAAGAAAAGATTTCACTGTCACCTTAAATTCACACACTGAAGAGAGATCAGTTGTTCCTAAGTTCCATTCTTGATGTTATAATAAAAGCACCACATTGCTTTGCATATATTATCCTAATTATAATTTAAAGAAAAGAATTAATGGTAGTTGTCATTAAAACATGCCCTACACCCCTATCTGGTTTGGCTCAGTGGATAGAGCATTGGCCTGTGGATCGAAGGGTCCCAGGTTCGATTCTGGTCAAGGGCATGTACCTTGGTTGTGGGCACACCTCCAGTGGTAGGTATGCAGGAGGCAGCTGATTGATGTTTCTCTCTCATTGATGTTTCTAACTCTCTATCCCTCTGCCTTCCTCTCTGTAAAAAAATCAATAAAATATATTTACCGTATTTTCCGGCGTATAAGACGACCCCCTAATTTTACAGTTAAAACATAGGTTTGCGCCTATATTCGCTGTATAAGACTACCCCCCACTTTCGAGGCAACACCAGTTCTTTTTTTAATAGACCGCCTCTCTGACTCTGGCCAATCTGAGCAGGCTTTTTACTAGAACACAGTGTACATGTTCTGTACCCGAAGCTGTGTTCTAGTAAAAAGCCTGCTCAGATTGGCCAGAGTCAGAGAGACGGTCTATTAAAAAAAGAACTGGTGTTGCCTCGGAAGTGGGGGGTAGTCTTATACAGCGAATATAGGCCCAAACCTATGTTTTAACTGTAAAATTAGGGGGTCGTCTTATACGCCGGAAAATACGGTGTGTGTGTGTGTGTGTGTGTGTGTGTGTGTGTGTGTGTGTGTGTATTTTTTTTTTTTAATTTTTTTAAAAAATTTTTAAAATTTTTTTTTTAAGCCCTACAGCCCAGCAGGTGTGGCTCAACAGCTGAGTGTCAATCCAGGAACTGAGAAATCATGCCCAGATTGTGGACTCCATGCAGGAGGCAGCTGATCGATGATGATGTTCCTCTCTCATAGATGTTTCTATCTCTCTATCTCTCTCCCTTCCTCTCTCTCTAAGAATAAAAAACAAACAAACAAACAAAAAACATTATTTTTTTAAATGCCATACAACTGTATGCCAATTAATAGAGACTAAAGATTTGTATTATGTAATTATATGTAGATTACAAACTCTCATACGGAAGACAGGCAAATAAGCACATTTAACCTACATGATTTCAACCTTATAACACTCCCTTACCAGCAGATTTATAACCTTGCCTTTAAACTAAAAACAGTACTTTTACTTAGGTTCAGGTAACAGAAAAAACTAGCTGTTACGATGATCTAGTTTACATAAAATCATACATACCTTTAGTTTTAAAGATAAGCTTATTCTAAAAAAAAAAAAAAAAGGCTTATTTGATTTTTTTTTTTTTTTACGGTAGTCATTGACTTTAGGACTTAACATACATGTAAAATGCAAACTTATTATAAAGATTTGCCAAATGCCACTACAGTGTTTTGTTTTGTTTTAATTAAGTAGTTACCTGTTCTTTACTAATCTTGACAGCTTTGTTGAGGTCAGCCTTACAATAGAAGTGAACATTATCAATAGGATTTTTGTCTTCCATTCCATAATCCATGTTGATAACCTTAATAAAAGCAAGAAATAAATGGTCACACATATTTTTTAAATGGTACATGTCCCACAGGGATTTGGTCTTGAAATCTGGGTGGTGTGCGATATTTGTGTGTTCAATGTAAGTAGGGTGTAACGTCAATACCTATTATGTGATGGACACTGTGGCAGGCACTAGAGATAATAATAAAGAAACCTGATATGACTCCAGTCCCCCGCACTACATGGCATAGACTGACGTTCAACAAATGATTATCAAAGTAATTATATAACTTCATTTGTTATAAGAGTTACCAAGGAGAAACAAATGATGCCAGGAAAGTTTGTAACCAGAGAATGACTAGTGAATAACTAAGAGACAGGAATTAACCAGGCTTGGGTAGGAAAGACAAGAATGCCAGGCAGAAAAGACAGCTCCAGGGCAGAGACTGAAACTATCTGCTGGGTTTGAAGCCATCAGCGATCTTGGTGAAAGTAATTTTAGTATAATAATGGAGGTAGAAAAGGTTTGCAAGTAAATAAGAAATGAGAAAAACAACAACTCTTTAGAAGCTAAGGCTGTTAGGAGACAGGAGAGGCTTCCATCAAGATGACAGAGCAGATAAACACTGTCCTCACCTCCTCTCATGACAACTTCAAAATTACAACTATAGCCGAAACCGGTTTGGCTCAGTGGACAAGAGCATAGGCCTGCGGACCAAAGGGTCCCGGGTTCAATTCCAGTCAAGGGCATGTACCTTGGTTGCGGGCACATCACCAGTAAGGGTGTGCAGGAGGCAGCTGATCGATGTTTCTCTCTCATCTATGTTTCTAACTCTCTATCCCTCTCCCTTCCTCTTTGTAAAAACTCAATAAAACATATTTAAAAAAAATACAACTATAAAACCACTGCCATTGGGAACTGCCTGAAGTCTAGCTGAACAGAAGTCCTGTAAGAATATGTAGAAGCCACATCAAGACTATCTTTTAAAAAAATTTAAAAAATAGCCGAAACCAGTTTGGCTCAGTGGATAGAGTGCTGGCCTGCGGACTGAAAGGTCCCAGGTTCGATTCCGGTCAAGGGCATGTACCTTGGTTGCGGGCACATCCCCAGAAGGGGTGTGCAGGAGGCAGCTGATCGATGATTCTCTCTCATCGATGTTTCTAACTCTCTATCCCTCTCTTCCTCTCTGTAAAAAAATCAATAAAATATATTTTACAAAAATAAAATAAAAAAATTAAAAATAATAATAAAGAAGACACAAAGGAGAGAGAAATAAGGTTTCTAGGAAAGGTAAGGGGAGACTAGAGTGTGATGCTTATTTTCTTAAGATAAAAGTCTGTTTAACTGCTAATGGGAAAGTCAGAAAGAGAGGAGAGAATCAATTTCATAAGGTTGCTCAGAAGTGCTGAAACAAATGGCCCTATGGCTACACTGCCCAATGTGGTAGCCACTAGCCACATATGACTTTTTAGATTTTAAATCATTAATATCAAATATAAAACATTTAGTTCTTCAGTTTCAAATGCTCGGTAGCCATGTGTGGCTAGTGACTACCAAAATGGACAGTAGAGATACAGAGAATTTCTATCATCAAAAGTTCTATTGGCCCTAGCAGGTTTGGCTCAGTGGATAGAGCATTGGACTGTGGACTGAAAGGTCCAGGGTTTGGTTCTGGTCAAGGGCATAGGCCCAGGTTGCAGATTCAATATTCAGTTGGGGGCATACAGGAGACAGCTGATTAATGATTCTCTTCCATCATCCATCTCTCTCTCTCTCTCTCTCTCTCTCTCTCTCTCTCTCTCTCTCTCTCTCCCTTTACCTCTCCCTCTCCCTCTCCCTCTCTCTCTCCTTCCCTCCCTCCCCCTTTCTGGGGGAAGGGTATATATATATTAAATTTCTAATGGACAGCCCTGGTCTAGATCACAATTAGAATTACTTTTTATAAGAAGAGAAAACATTTCCCATGGGACCAGAGGGAAGGCTAAATACAGCTGCAGATGGAGACAGGCTTGCTTATATGATGATGTAGGTTGAGGGAGTTCCTAATGGCTTATATTTTATATATCTGAAATAAGAGCCACGGTGGGGTTAGTCACTAGGGATAATATAGTTGGAGTTGAGGAGCATGGTTGGAGGTCTTAGAGGAGTGAAGATGATTTGAAAGTCATTATGGAAACTGGAGAATTGAACTAAGCCTGCCAGAAAGTTCAGGGGGCCGAGCTAAGGTTGGTGACCATGAACTGTCAATTAGATGCAAAGATGGGCAAGGAAGTTGAGGGTAATAGCAGAAAATGACTGAATTAATGGATAACAGAATATGAGTTAGGTTGGAAGATAAATAAAACTAGAAGGTCACTGACAAGCTAGAAGGAGATAATAAACTGGAGGTACTGATAAGCTAGGAACAAGCATACAAGAAAGGGGTTTGTGGATAGAGAAGGAATGCTAAAATGAGTGATTTTTAGAGGGAGGGTATTTTTGAATGTTGATAAGGTTTAGAATGCCATATGCTGAGAGTGTTGGTTGAGGTGGAGTGGATGAGGTCACTGAGGATGAGGATGAAGAGATCAGAGTTGGTTGGCCATATGGACTATGAAGTCATTAAGGATAATGGCAGGAATCAGAATAGACACGAAGACTTTAAATCATGCCAAAAATCTTCAACAAGAGGACAGTAAGAGGTTTGAGGATGTTAGTCTCAGAGGAAAAGGGATTGTGCATAGGATATATATATATATCTTCACTTGAGGATATTCTTTTCCATTGAATTTTAGAGAGAGTGGAAAGGAGGGGGAGAGACAGAGAGAGAGAGAGAAACATTGATGTGAAAGAACCACATTGATTGCTTCCCACACACATCCTGACCAGGGCTGGGGATTGAGCCTGCAACTGAGGTTCATGCTCTGACCAGAATAGAACCTGTAACTCTTCAGTCCATGGGCCAATGCTCTAACCACTGAACAAAGAGCTATTCAGTCAAGAATCTGATGTTGCTGAGACCGGTTTGGCTCAGTGGATAGAGTGTTGGCCTGCGGACAGAAAGGTTCCAGGTTCGATTCCGGTCAAGGGCATGTACATTGGTTACGGGCACATCCCTGGTGGGGGGTGTGCAGGAGGCAACTGGTCGATGTATCTCTCTCATCGATGTTTCTGGCTCTCTATCTCTCTCCCTTCCTCTCTGTGAAAAATCAATAAAATATATTATAAAAAGAGAGAGAGAGAGAGAGAGAGAGAAGAACCAAGATGGCGGCATAGGGCACACCCGAATGCAGCCTACCACAACAAGTTTTAATTTAGAACTGAAAAACAGGGGAAACATCACCCTGAAGCGCCGGACAGCTGGCTGAGGGGAGGCTCTACCATCTGGGAAGGAGAGAGAAGGAGCGCTGAACCTCAGGAACTGTGAAGGTACGGAAAACTGCGCGCGCGAAAAGGCGGCCGCCAAGTTCGCTGCCGGCTTGCTTGCGGAGCACAGAGAGGGTGAGCTGAGTTCCCTACCGATTTCCTACCTGCATGCAGAGAGGGTGGATAGCTAATGCACAGCTGGCTTTCTTGTTCGAGAGGAAAACAGAACCACCCTATTGCGCTGATAGACGGCCCCAGACAGGGAGAGGCCAGATGGTCGGGCAGTGGGCGGGGATCTCTCGGAGGTGAGTGAAGCCAGTGGCCATTACTGCGGGACTCAGAAACCAGACCCTCGTAGGGAGGGGCTGAATAAAGCTGCACCACCTGACACTACGCCCCATCCAATCAGAGCACAGAGGCCCTACCAATAGGACTCTCCTAGGGAGGGGCAGACAGGAATCTAAAGCTTGTCTGTGCCAGCCTGCAACCAATTGTGCGGGATTCAACAAAGCTTGTCTGTGCCACACTGAGACTCCGCCCATCCAAGCAGAATACAGAAACCTTCCTAGCTGAGACACTTCTGATCCTCATAGCCAATTGGCTTGGAGATCAACGCTTCCCAGTGATACCAACAACAAGCAAGGCTTAACAACAAGACTGAACATACATCTCACAAAGGGCTACACCAAGACTGTCCACCTCAGGTAACGGGGAGGCTGACTCACTGAACCATATAGGACACCTTAGAACACAAAGCCACCCTACCAACTCAGGGAAGCTGTGAAAATGCCAAGACAAGGAAATAGATCACAAACAAAAGAAATGGAGGAAAAGAAGTGACTGGATAGAGTTCAAAACCACACTTAAAAGGTTTTTCAAGAATTTCCTAAAAAAGGTCGATAAGACCTATGAGGAGATGAAAAGGGATCAACAAAAACTAATAAGGGATCAACAAGAAATAAAGAATACATTGTCTGAAATAAAAAATATTATACAGAGTCCTAAAAACAAAATGGAAGATCGCAAGAATCAAGTCAAAGATTTGGAACATAAAAAGCCAGAAGACAAGAGAATCCAGAAAGTTAAAGATAGTGTAAGAAACCTCTGGGACAACTTCAAGCGAACCAACATCAGAATTATGGGGGTCCCAGAAGATGAGAGAGAGCAAGATATCGAAAACATACTGAAAGAAATAGTGACAGAAAACTTCCCTCACCTGGTGAAAGAATTAGACTTTTTTTTTTTTTTTTTTTTTTTTTTTTTTTTTTACATTTTTATTTTTTTTTTTATTTTTTTATTTTTTTTTTTTAAGCAATCTTTATTGTTCATATTATTACAAAGGTTCCTCATTTCTTCCCCCCTCCACCAGGTTCCCACCCCACCCTCCGTCCCCCCCCATCCCCCATTGTCCTCATCCATAGGTGCAGTTTATGTTCAGTCTCTTCTTCCCTCAATTTCCCCAATAGTAAATCCCTTTTCAGATAGTAAATCAGTTACTTAGCATTTTCTCATATCAATAATACCTCCACATGCCCAATGATACACTTCACACAAAAGACATTTCCCACTAGGTCAACCAGCCTCATCCAGGCCCCACCCAAGGCACTCACAGATCAACACCCCAGTCCTAAACTAACTCAACACATCCAGATATAAGCCTTCATCACTTGATTCAGCAGACACTC